TTATATAATAAATATAACAGTATGTAGGAGGGTTAACTTATTGGAAGATTTTGCATCAAATGAAGACATCAGTGACATGAAGAACAATAAACCACATCACCAAAATAAGTGACATCTTGGTTGAGGTCATGAAGCATATATTTACATCCTTAAGCGATCAATTTATTTTTCTGCTGTGTTTTTATAAGCATAACATGTTCATCTGCTTAAAAAAAAAACAATTGACAGAACAAGATTTATTTAAGTATCAATAAATATTTATCGCAAAGAAAATACGTTTGTCAATCACTAATTTACTAAAAAAACTCTTATAAAAAATAACAAAAGAGTATTTGGCAGCTATTCATCACAGTTTTAGAATTTTAATTTTTGTTGTTGCTAAGTCAACAGGTATATGTGGCTACCTACTATTAGTTAATTGTGATAGTATTGTTTATCAAAATAGAATAACTATTCCAAAATACCTGTTAAAAAAGATACCTGGTGGATCTTTTTTTTGTGAGACCAAAGATATAAACTAAGACATTTTGCATCAAAAACACTGACTAAAACTAGATGGAACCAATTCTGATCAGACATAGACAAGAACAACGAAGTCATCAATAATTATAAAAAAAAACCAGAACTGGTATGGAAAAAAATTATAGTACAGCATTATGTCTAAGAAAATACTAATTAACATGTTAAATTAATCCATGTGCTGCATTAATCTCGTAACGTAAATTGTATGAAATTTGCATTACAACAGTTGGCGAAAAAAAGTACACTGAGCTTGCAGCCTCTCAGCTGAGATACCTGTGCTGTTAGCAATGCACATCAATAAATACAATATAGGTGATTAACATAAATATTATGTAAATTATATCAATATATACTATCGATACGCGAATACTAGTAGTTTGTTTCTAAAAGTGATTCCAAAAACAACACATCATCTGCCCTGGAGGATAATTGTTTCTGGGGTGCCACGTTCTTCCTGAACAAACATGGAACACGGTGATTTGATAGCGAACGTTGTTTCCCCCAATCGTAAACATGCGTGTTGACGGTGACCAATCTGTCAACAGGGAGCAATAGAAAAAAACATCCATTTTTTCATGAATTCCTAGTTTATAAACGATCGACTAAAAGGAATTTTCAAGTAAAGATCGTGATTGGGATAAAACGACTTGAAGTTGAAACCGAGACACTGACGCCGAAAAAAAACAAAAACATTACTGGCACATGTATATCATCTGCCACCAAACAGAAATGAAATACAATCAAGACCAAACTGGTTAATGAATGCTACTTACTTGTTATTTTAGACAACGATCCATCTTCGAAAATACTGTTGTTAATAAGTTGTATTAGGTCCAGCTCACGCAAAAGTAGTAGCAGTACGCCGCCATGTTTTGAGTCATGCTCAGGCGCGTTTGTAACCCATGATCTGATTGGCTGTGGTCCCTCGGCGAGATTTGTATAGGCATTGAGTCAGATGTCGTTAGAGGCGACTAAAACACAATTTTCTAAGAACTGATTAACGGCAAGAAAAACCAAAAAATCCACATATTCAAACTAAAATATAAATATATATAATATAAAGGGTTATAAAAAAAATATTTCATATGTGACGAATCGCCAGAAGACACAGGTAGAACAAATTTGCACACGCGGATAAGTTGTTGAGGTTGGGAGAATTTGAAATTAAGTTTTGCATTTACGCGTCTTTGTATCATGAACGTGTTTTATCCGACATCTGAAACTACCAGAAATATTTGAGATTATATAATACTTAATATGAATTCGAGAAATATTGTGTAAGACGACCAATATCTCGAAATATTAATTTATTTGCGATAGTTAGTTATGATTGCATAAAATCAATGTGCTTGTACGGACCAATCAGTTTGCCGGGAATTTGTTATACTTAGTATAGAGGACGTGTTTAGAGTTACTGACGCGTTTGAATGTCCTTTTTTTATTAATATTTGAATAATGTGTGCGACTTGGTGACGTCAGAGAAAGTCCACCTAGTCGCTATGAATGCGTGAGTGCTTATTATTTTAAAAACAGTGTGTCGTACTGTAACTGGGAGTGTAGTTTGTTGTTTCCCTAGCTTTGTACCTGAATCACTGATTGCACGTTTTCTTCAAATTAAAGGATTAGGCTAAAACCGAGAGTGCTGCGAGATGTATCTACACGTGACTTAAAAACAACAATACTTGGCAGAGAAATCGACATACCAATTTGCATATCTCCCACAGCATTTCAAAGATTGGCCCATCCAGATGCTGAAGCTGGAACATCCAGAGGTAGGGAATGTTGTGAAGTGAATTACAAAACAAGTCGAATAATAAACATTGTAAAGACAACTGATGAGCTTACATATATATCAGTAATTTTAAATGAAATACAATTTTCTTAGTAATATTTTCATATTTTGTTGGGTATGATCAATTCCTCGCGCGAGGATAAAAGAAGAAGTTTAATAGTAAAGTTTAATAATAAATTTGTATCAATCAGATTCACGAAATCATTAAAAGTGGACTTATAATCATTTAATTCATAGTGGAATGAACGAATTAAGCGGGTGCTTATTTTTATTACTGCTGACAAGTTTGGCCACCAAATTTGTCACTTACAATTACCCTCTCCATAAAAACAAAAGCTCCAGCCAATGTCAGATTTAACTACCCATTCATAGTGTTGTGACGCATGACAAATGTTCAACTAACTTTTGGTAATAAGATCGCCTAATTTCCACCAGAAACTAGTAAACCTGTATTGTACGAAACCAGTGAAGCAAAGTAAACTGCATTTACGCATGTAAATACACACGGTCAGGAATCATTTACTTGGAGCACTAAATATGACAATTGCCTCACTCCCTGTGCTAAATTTGATAGTTAAATCTACACACAGGCATATAAGTACTAACTTTCTAAAATTTTTATTATCTCCAAGCAATCCCAGAACGAGATGAATCAACGCTATCGTCTTTATTTTGATATTGGATGTAACTATTATCTTATGGGAACCACGGGTCATAACTTGACGGAGTTAACATCCATGATTTTAAAAATGCGTTGATCAATAAGTTAAACATTATTTTGATTTTTCAGTGCACTAATAAATACATTTGACAGGGTAATATAAAAATACAAAACACAATTAAAACAGCTTGCATTTCCCTGTCATGCACGTTACTAAGCTGAAACATCCATCCAATCATCAGCGGATGTAAAATAAAGATGATTCCCATTAAATACTAGAGGATGCTATAACCAAACATTTCTCGTTATTAACAGGGAACCCCACTCAATCCCATGGATTGCACCACGTGCTCATGGGTAATTAATTCCGCATCTGTCCACTAAGTAAATGAATGTTTATTATGCTCGCTTTCTCAAACTGTAATTGAAAGGTATTTTGCATACATTACCCGCCATTTTAAACTCAGGATTTTTACTTGTCGCGAAACTTTCGACCAAAATCAACAACATTTATATACCAAAAGTCAACCACACGAGTGTAATCGCCATCGTACATATCCATGCCCCGTAGAAATGTATTTAGAATCACAGCTTGATCTCTAAACAACGTAAATGGCACATTCCCTGGAGCTCCCGCCGCGATGTGAGCGGCTTGGGTCGGATTAGCATACTAATTGCGGTGATCATCTTGCCCCTATTTATAGAATCGGTTTCCCTTTAATATTTGTCAAACTGATCTTGCAATTACAATTCAATATTTCAGCCTCGGGGACGTTTAATACATGTATGATACTGAGCTCTGGAAGTTCGTTATCCCTAGAAGACATTTGTTATGCTCACTCTGGAGGTACGAAATGGATGGACATCTATGTTTGGCCTAACCCACGTGTAACTAAGGACATGGTACAAAGAGCGGAGCAAGCTGGATGTAAAGGCATTGTTGTGTCCGTCGATATCTGCCAAGTTGGGTTCAGGCGAAGAATGGCATATGTAGCTGGGAATAATGTACCAAGAAATTCGATTAATGCTAACTTTGATAAATACTGCAAGAATGTAAGCCATATTTATCACGTTTACAACAATAAACATCATCATTTGTATGTGGTCGAGTGCATATATATATATATATATATATATATATATATATATATATATAGCGATTGTTATGTAGTTCTAGATTAATATATGTTAGTTTATTCGACTCATCATAGCTTAATGAATTATGTTGTATTGGCGACAAAACATAGTTTAAGTTAGTTAAGTTACTAATCGAAACCTGGCGCATTGTTTGTCGACTATATAATATCGACCACAATACAATGGGGAGCCCGTTGTGCAAGACTGAATGCTTCACATAATTATTTTTTAATATAGCTCATATTTCACCATGATCGAAGTAAGAACCCCACAAGCGATTTTATTAGTTAATGACACCCTAAGATTCTGAAACCGATGATATCGGTTATGTTCGGCGGATATCATGCAAATACCGTAGCTGTTTTATTTATTACAGTACCGGTGTTGCTTAACGAGGTTTCTGACACAATTCTGCTGACTATAAAACTTTGATGCGAATATGTTGTTTTACATATATACAAACTTAATTTTCACTACATATATATTACTGCCACGTTAATGACCAAAATGTAGCACCATCATAAAGACCACAGAACAGTATACAAAGTCTTTAAGTAAAACTTACATTTATATTAAAGCTGTTAAATGCTATTAAAATGTTATTTAAATTCTACAAAAATGGTCAATATGGTTTGACCTCTGTGTGTCAGTTCATGCATCCGTATCCCACACATTCCTGCACCAAGCAATTTTATTGTATTCTTAATGTTAAACTTAATGTTAAATCTCGAACATGTGCATATGTATATGTTTTATGATAAATTCAAGATGACTGAAAGGCAGCCATTTTAAGGCCAAAATGCATAAAAATCACACATTTTCATCATTTGTGACCCACAATGCTGTTCTTTATGTTCAAGGGTATTATGAATGAAGCAACATACGTGGATGAAGTGAAATGTGGTGACCCAAGTGCAACATGGGCTGACATTGATTGGATAAAGTCCATAACCAAATTACCCATAATACTCAAAGGCATTATGACAGTTGAAGATGCATTGATTGCAGTGGAACATAAAGTGGATGCTATTATGGTATCTAACCATGGTGGGAGACAGTTAGATGGTGTACCAGCAACAGTATGTGTTATTCCTTAAATGTAATTGCTATAATTCACTCGTTCAAGATTCCCATTGGTAATCAAAACTATATACCACCCAGTCACAACGAACAGTTATTCAATTTATTCAGTTTTTTGCTGATTGCAAAATAGTTGGATATTAATAGTGTCGACCAAATTTACAATGCCGATTTATCTTTAAGTGTGTATTTCTTTTGATTAGATAGATGTGTTAGCAGAGATATCCAGGGCTGTAGGTGATAAAATAGAAGTCTACATGGATGGTGGTGTACGTACAGGTACTGATGTATTGAAAGCATTGGCTCTTGGTGCTAGGGCTGTCTTCATTGGTAGACCAGTTATATACGGCTTGGCATACAAGGTGATTTATATTACAAGTAATAATGCAATAAATATGTGTGTTATATGTCGTATGTAATCACTTATAACACCAATTGTTCTTATTGGATATCTTCATTCATAGTTTCTAAGAAGTAAAACATGTAACAACATGTTAATTTAGTAGGATTCAAAAACTTGGCGTAAAAGGTACCACCGTCAGTACATCACTGTGTCAAGTTGTCATTTAAAAAAAAAACTGCCAACACTAAATACATACTAATGAGTGACTGATATGACACCATTGTCTTACATTTATATTTTCCATATTAGGGTGAAGAAGGTGTCAAAAACGTCTTGCAGATTTTAAAAGACGAGTTGAGCTTAGCTATGGCATTATCAGGCAAGTAATGACTACATGTCCGACGTAATTAACTATTTTTTTCATACAATCGGTCCACTACTTGAAAATCGATCCGTTACTTGAAATAAATTGGTTCGCTACCTAAAAATCGGTTGATAGAATAAACGTTCGACCTGCAAATATAATGGTTTGGAAGTATAACGCTGCATGCCAGTGTCCTATCTGCATCGAATTTGTCTATCTGAGTTAGAATCCTGCTCTGTTGTTTCACGAATTCGATTAACTATAGTGTCGAAGCTTACGGACCGATTAGCTGATCTGTTTGTCCAAAAAGCGGATCGGTTTTCACGTAGCAGACTAATTGCATACATGGGCCACCATACCTTTGTATAAATCGCACTCGCACACGAAACCACACATGTGTATTTCGCACATGGAATAACATACATACATCATACAGGCATAAATGAGGATTACATTTATGCATACTGCTCATTTAATTGATCGCTGTATGTGTGGTATGGAAGAATGACTTTTATGTTGATAGGGGATAATAGGACGTGTGATGTCTTGTCCCCAGTATTCACCGCATCTTCGTCGTTGTGAACAGCGCTTTTTCCGCTGAATGATTAGCTCATTTCTCCTACGTAATTCTAACCCAACTGTATGTGACTGTCTTGTGTAATGTTCACGTGGACATAAAAGAAATGGTATACATGGCTCAACAGCCGATATATTTGGACCACACGGTGTAGGTAATATGTGTGGGTAAACTAGCCGAGTTTCCTAACGCTATATAATCTGCACAGCCGAACATTGAGCAGTGACAATAGATGTACGCAATGTTATTCAGCGTTCAGTAATCATTCTAAATTTAATTGTCCATTAATTGTGAGCTAACAATCAATAGTCATGTGATTTATTGATAATAGCTAAGTGGAATGTGCAAAAATCTTATAAATGACTTACACTATTATAATGACAACCTCTGTTTAGAAGCACTTACAGGCAGTCATGTTATTTAATGTGATTACACTCACTAATTCAGATGGATAATCGTAATTAACCATACATAATATTGTTTTAGC